ATTTTCCTAATGTAGTAAACACAGGTAGATGTTCAAATGCTTTGTATAAATTTAAGCAGCAATCAATACATTATTCTCTTTATCTATTAGTGGCAATGGAAACTCACAGAATTATATCTACCAACTGCCCAGTGTCTCTTAATAACTTATTTTAATTTTGGCACAGTTCAAATAAATCTGATTAGAATGGACTCTAAATTACCTGCAATTTTGCCATGTTCAAGTACAAATCCTGATGGAATATAGATGCAATATTTTAAGAACAAGCTCCCTTAAAATGGAACAACTAGAAATGATATTTTACAAAAATTAATTATTTTTACATTATTTAAAGAAACATTTATAATTTCTCTTTTGGAACAACGTACTACAACAATTTTATCTTCTTAAGCAATCCTTTTCATAGCATTAATTCCAATTTTCCTCTTTGCTATAATACTAATGGACCTTTTTTAATAAAGCATATAAATAACATGGTTGTAGAATCTACTGTATGAATTATTAGCATTGGAAAGGTATTAAAATTACAAGTTTTAACAGGTGACATATACATGAGCCTTTAAAATTGCCATTTTTGTTTACATAGCTGGTGGGAAGATGCGCAGGTCATAAAGTCATTATGACACAGAAGGAGGTCATTTAGCCCGTGAGTCCATGTTGGCTCTCTGTAGGGCAATCCAATCAGTCCCATTCCCTTGCTCTATCCTTGTAAATTTAATGCCCTTTATGTGCCCATCCTATGTCATTCCAAGATCATACATCATCTCTGCTTCCACCACATTTGCAGGTAAAGAGTTTGAGGCCATTATCATTCACAGTGTAAAAAGATTCCTCCCATATCTCTTGTCTAAACTCTTATCTCACAGTCCTTGTTCTATAATGTCATGGGGTACATATGTTCTCTACCCGTCATAATCTTATTCATTTTGATCAAACCTCCTCTGAATTTAGTTTCTCTGTCAAGAATAACCCAAAATCAATAGAAGAGGAAACAAGTTAGTAGAAAAAAAAGGGTTTGAATTAGAATAGAGCAGATTGCAGACAAATGAGTGAGCTGGCTAAGGAGAGATAGAAGGAGAAAGTGAGGCACAGAATTGTACATGAACAGCCATATTCTTTTAAAGACGAAATTACAAAGTTGCAGAATAAACATATACTATTAAAAATACTGCTTCAGAATAGGACTTCTACAAAAAGAGGTTAAAACAAACTAGGAGTGGAGAAAAGGTCATCAGGCTTATAGATCTGGTAACATTGAAAGAAACAGGAAAATGACGGAAGATTAAGAAAGGCATAGGAAGCAATGAAGGATACAAAGAGAATTAAAATAAAAACAATAAAGTACTTTTCAAATATATTAGCAAATTATCAAATGGGATCCAAAAACATAGTGAGTCAATTGACAATGAATGGAAATTAGCAGCAATACTTAATTATTTGTTCTAGTATTGACTGATGAGAAGCATGTTGGGCAAGAGTTGTCTCTACTTCTGTAAAATAAGATATTATATCATTGCCCATCGTTGCTTTGTGGGCACTTTGTAAGAGTTCTTCTTCCTGTCATTTCCCTATATTCCTGCAAATTTCCTCCCTTCAAGTATTTATTCTATTATCATTTGCAAGTTATCAGTGAATCTACTTCCCTTTTAGGCAGTGCATAACAGATTATAATAACTCTCTGCTTAAAATAAATTGTCCTCACCTCACCTCTGGTTACTTGATCCCTTGGTGAGTGGTAATGGTTTATTTTTATACACTTGACCAAAATCCTTTGTGATTTTGAACACCTCTATTGACCTTAAACTTCTTTGCTCTAAAGTCAACTATCACAGCTTCACTAACTTTAGTCCCTCCTCCTTGGTACCTTTCTAGATCTCTTCTGCCTCTGCTGTAATATAACATCCGTTCTATAGTATAATTCCCAGAAATCGGAGGGCGGGTGGGGGGGAAACCTGGAAAATATATTTCAGTGTTCACTGTGCACAGGAAAACTGAACAACAGTTCACGCCATACAAAAAAAGAGGGACAGAGCCAACCTTAGTAATGACAGGTCAGGATATTATTAAGCTGGCCAGGACTCAGAAGACATTTACCAGGGTGTAGCTGGGTATGGAAGGATTGAGTTATGAAAGAAAGGCTGGATAGGCTGGGGCCTTTATCTATTGGAACATAGGAGATCAAGAGGCGACCTTTTAGAAGTTTATAAAATAATGAGGGATATAGATAGGGTGATGATAGTTGTCTTTTCCTGAGGATGGGGGATTTAAGACTAGGGGGCATGTTTTTAAAGGTGAAAGGAGATTCAAAAAGGATATGAGAAGCAAATTTTTTTTTTGTTTTACACAGAGGGTGGTTTGCGCGTGGAATGAACTTCCTGAGAAAGTGGTGGCTCTGGGTACAATTACAACGTTTAAATGACACTTGGATAAGTACATGAATAGGAAAAGTTTGGAGGGATATAGGCCAGCAGCAGGCAAGTCTGACTAGTTTAATTTGGGATTATGTTCGACATGGACTGTTGGACTGAAGAGTCCGTTTCTGTGCTGTATGACTCTGTGGTCAGGAAAAATTTCGTGTCTGCATTCAAAAATTAACTTCTCAAATGTGGTGGAAAGGAAATAATCAGAAGCAGCCAAATTAGTTTGAGCTTCATACTACAGGGAAAATGTTTCGACAGTCAAAGATTTCAATGAAGATTTGTGAAGATGTTACCTTATGTGAGTAGAATCAAATGTGAATAAAGACTTTGAAAATTGCTACAGAGATAGTAGGAACTGCCGATGCTGAAGAATCTGAGATAACACGGTGTAGAGCTGGATGGACACAGCAGGCCAAGCAGCATCAGAGGAGCAGCTAGTTTCTGAAGAAGGGTCTCGACCCGAAACGTCAGCTTTCCTGCTCCTCTGATGCTGCTTGGCTTGCTGTGTTCATCCAGCTCTACACTGTGTTATCTTTGAAAATTGCTCCTGTTTTGGTTAGAAAATGAGAGATTATGGAGTAATTTGACAGAGATATTCAAAACTATTAACAAAAGGAATGAGAATGCTGAAACAGCCTGTTCCCAGTGATTGAGAGGTAGAGATTGTAAAGGTACAAAGACAAATTTAGATACAAAAAAGTTAGGGCAACGGTTTTATACAATGGGCAACGAAACATTTAAAAGTGCTATCAGTTAGTGACTGAAGCAGGGACCATACTAATATTTAAGAATAGGTGGGTTGAAAAGAAAGTAAATGAAATATGACAGCAGGACAAGCATAAGGGATCAGGAACACAGAATAGACATTCACAAGAACTGGGTGGGCAAATAGCCTGTTTCTGTATGAATTTTAACTAATTCTATACATTGGCCCATAATGTTCATCAAGAACTTTGATTTTCAAATCAATTTGATATCATATTTTGATTGCCCTCTTAACTAATATCTTTTGCCTTTTAACGAGCCTCTATTTTTGTGGTACAATGTAGATGTAAATGCTGGAGAGCGTGTTCGCCTATGGTCAGTGAAGCATCGGAGATATTTTATAGTTGATTAACATTCACAACTCAACTCCTTTTCAGTGTTTCACATCAATAATTCTTAGCCCTTGCTACATAGTACAGATTTGGACATGTTAGCAATTTTAATTATTTTAGTTTAATTGAAATGAATACAATAGGTCTAATTTAACTTTTGACTTTTTAAAAAAAACTTTTCCTTTGGAGCGTTTGTCTGTTATCTAAAAACATAACAGAAAAAGTAAAAAAAACTTCTTAAAAATATTATGTGAAACTTTTTGACAAATTATGTTCATGCAAAATTGATCTCATTTCTTATAGGATTCAAGCTGCTAAACAGGATTGCTTAATATCTAATTACTCCTTAAATGGGCTAATGGGTTTTAAATTAAGTTCTTCACATGGTGATTTTGTTCTGTAGAACCTATGAAATTCTAGGATATTGGGAATGTATTTCATAAAGCTTTTTGAGATTGATCTAAAATTCAACATTCTTTTTGACTTTGCAGAATGCCACATTTCGGTATAAAAATCTGTTACTCTAAAAAAGAATGGGCAGCCTTATTTGTCTTTGAACTAAATCCAGGTAAACTGTTAGAGAATTCATTTTCCAATTCGATATCTCTAAAAATTAAACATTATGTGTCCCCAAAAAACTGGTATGTGTTCTGTTGTAACTTAATAGACAGACAAAAATCACCAAATATAAGTATTTCAGCACTAACTAGTTGGTCAATTTAAGTTTAGGTTTGTGCTCAGTGAGGAAGTATTTATTGTTTCATCATAGAATCTGCTAAATTTAGTTTTTACACAAAGGGAAAACTTCCAAAAAACAAACAACATAACAGAGAAGAGCAGCTACTGATCACTCAATTGACAGACACCACTGAAGTTTCAGATTTGTCTTTACCATGTTTTCAAATTCAAAGTAAACCATAGGACTTTGACTATGGCTGCTAAATAACAAAGGAGGTCAGGTTAAGGGCACAACCCTGAACACTTATTTGAAAATGTATATCAGGATATGGCAATGCGGTATCCAACAAATACGAATTATGATTATAACCACCACTTGAAAATATAAACATTACTGATTATCTAAATTATTAAGCTTTCATTTACAGTAAAAATTAAAAGAACTGCGGATGCTATAAACCAGAAACAAAAACAGAAATTGCTGGAAAAGCTCAGTGGGTCTGGCAGTATCCTGTGGAGAGAAATCAGAGTTAACATTTTGGATCAAGTGACCCTTCCTCAGACCTCAGTTCTCTCCACAGATGCTGCCAGACCTTCTGAGCTTTTCCAGCAATTTCTGTATTTGTTTCATTAATAGTAGTTTGATAGCTATTACAGTATAAATAACAAGAGATAAAATGTGCAGAGACACGGTCTTAAAATTACTGGGATAAGGAAAAGAACAAAACACTCAATAATCACTTAAAAATGATAATTCACTATTGCTTAAAAAAAACAAAGCTGCATGCAAATGTTGGTGCCTTACATTGTCATAATGCTTTTTCACAATTGGTTCATAAAAGCCTATTGCCTCTTTATACTTGTTTTCTTGCATAAAGAGAACATGGGCAACATTCAATTTCCAAACATCATGCTCATTGCAGAACTCCACTGACTTTCGGAAGATCTTCTCGACCATTTGGTAGTTTTCCAAGTTCCAGTAGATTCTGGCCTGAGCCATAAGCACTGGAATATACCTGAAAAATAAGAACGAAAGAATATAAGAAATACGAGCAGGGCTAGCAGAACCTGAACTACCAATCAATTATGTTGTGGCTGATCTCTAATTTCAAATGCACTTTATGGCCTGAAGTTGGTTAGCTCAATTGACTGGATGGCAGGTTTGCAATGGATATTAACACCAACAGTGTAGGTTCAATTCCCACACCAAGCTGAGATTACTATGAAGGTCCCTTCTTCTCAAAATCTCTCCCTTTGCTGAGCCAGCATTTATTGCCCGCTCCTAGTTGCTTGAGAATGTGGTGGTGAGTTTTCTTCTTAAACTGCTGCAGTCCACATGCTGTAGGTTGACCCACAATGCCCTTAAGGGAGGCGTTTCCAAGATTTGTCTTTACCAATAAAGGAACGGCAAGATATTTCCAAGTCAGGATGGTGAGTGTCTTAGAGGGGAACTCACAGATGGTAGTGTTCCCATGTATCTGCTGTCCTTGTCCTTCTAGATGGAAGTAGTGCTGCGCAAGGATCTTTGGTGAATTTCTGCAGTGTATCTTGTAGACAATACAAACTACTGACACTGAGTGCCAGTGGTGGAGGGAGTGGATGCTTGTGGATATGTTGTCAATCAAGTGGGCTGATTTGTCCTGGATGGTGTCAAGCTTCTTGAGTGTTGTTGGAGCCGCATCCATTTAGGTAAGCAAAGAGCATCTGATCACACCCTCGACTTGTGCCTTGTAGTTGGTGGACAGACTTTGTGGTGTCAGGAGGTGAGTTATTTGCCACACTATTCCTAGCCTCTGACCTGTTTTTGTAGCCACTCTGTTTATGTGCTGTGTCCAGCTGAATTTCTGGTCCATGGTAATCCCAAGGATGTTGATAGTGGAGAATTCAGTGATGGTAATTCCATTGAATGTCATGGGGCACTGGTTAGATTATCTCTTATTGAAGATGATCATTGCCTGGCATTTGTGTGGTGCAAGTCAGCCCCAGCATGGAAATGTCCAGATCTTGTTGCATTTGAACATGGACTGCTTCAGTATCTGAGGAGTCGCTAACGGTGCTGAGCATTGTGCTATCAGCAAACATCCCCACTTCTGACCTTGTGATGGAGGGAAGGTCATTGATGAAGCAGCTGAAGATGGTTGGACATGAATGTGGCCTTGATTTTAAGGGCTCTCTCTCTCTCAACTTGCCTCATGGATAACAGGCTTGATAAGGAGAATTCTTTTAGGAGATAACAGATATGGCAGATCAGAGTTATGCAAGTAGCTGTGGTACAGATGGAACTTAAGACAACAAGTTAAGGACAATAATCTAATTGTCAGTGGCATTTCCACAGAGTTCATTCTGTAGCCCCTTCTTTCAACTCTGTCAATGATTTTGATTTAAACTAAAGGCAGTGGTGTCAAAGTTTTCAGATGATGCACTTTCAGAAAGCGAAAGAAAGCTGTGAAATGATATTGATAAGCAGCATGATAAGCCTAAAACTTGATAGATGGAAAGAAAATGTCAATGTGCTGTGAATGGAAATAAATGTGCAGCAACGAAAGATTTGGGATGACAGAATCTCAGGACATTGAACAGACAGCACAGAGTTGCTAGTTCTGTGTGAAAGAAGCTAATCAAACCTGTTGCCTTAATGAAGGCAGTTACTGTAACAGGTGAAAGTCTTTAGGTGATTCTCTAAAACAGTAAAGTGAGTATTAAAAAACTTACAATTCAGAATACTTTGATTTCCTACAAAGTACAATATAGATTTATGAGAATACTGACTGTAATAAGCGTAACGAGACTGAATCTTCAGCAGTGAATACGATATACTCAATGAAAGGAAGTACAAATAAATCGTTTTAGAAGATAACAGAAACTGCAGATCAGAGCAATGCAAGTAGACATTTAGAAGAGTTTGGAGTCCTGCATGTAGAGAATGGAGGAAGTGAAGAGTCGTGTTACATCTCCTGTTCTTGCATCGGAAGATGCCAGGGGAAATGGATCAGATTTTGCAGTGTTAGAATTGGCAAGTGTGTAAGAGCATGGTCACTTTAGAATGCTGAAAGCGGAGGGAGAAGTTGTGCTTGCTGCTAAGAGAAATTACACCTGGCAGGAGGTTTAGATTTCATCAAATACAATTTTATTTTCTATTCCCTGAATTTTCACAGAAGTGCACGGCCTCAGTTATTTCAAGAATGACACAAAGGATGAAATCTGGAAGTCCTGCCCAGTAATACAAACCCCATCATTTTCACAGGCAGTGAGGTTGAGGAATGGGGAAGGTTACAAATTGCAAATTTATCATTTATACAGGCAGAAGTTCATTGGAGCTACTTCCGCTCTTGTGTGACTTTCCATAGCCAAGATTGGGAAGGATGAAGTACGCGGAGTAGACCTTGAAGGAACAGTTCAAAGTTTTAACCTACTATAGTTGACGAGCCTTTTAAAGAGTTCTGGTACAGTCCTTCCTGTTGCTCTATAAGCATTCAGTAGTGAGAGATTAAGAGAAGGAATCAGCAGTCAGGTCCAAGATAACTGATGTCAAATCAATGTTATGCCTTAATTAATGTCACGATCTGCCTGCTCAGAGCACTTAGGATATTAGCTACACGTGTTCTAATGATCACACCAGGGTGACATCCTGTACAATTTTCAGAATTGCGTGCACTGCATTGGCTGTAATTTTGGTCCCCTTACGGCACATATTCAAACGTGCAAACTATGGTTAAGATTTTCTGATGGCCAAACTGTTGTTATTCCAGTGTAGCTCGGAGCTGTGCAAGTCCCATCGTGGCAGATTCCAAAAGAATTGTCTGGACAACTGAAGATCCAACTAGGCAAGGCCTCTACGCCTGGAACCCTCTGAAAGTCTCCATTTAAACTGGAGACTTCGGGTGACTTCAATGAAATAAAGTGAAAAGTTACTCAGAAAACGTTGAGATTATTTAATAGAGTCTAACTCCAAGCTCCCAACCATACTTCTGCCCTACATACACCTAGGCCCTGATGTGACAATCCCCCAGGACCCCTACCCAGCTGGCATCCTACCCTCTCCCCTATCTGGCACCCTACATATCTGGCACTTTACCTCCCAGCACCCTGACACTATATTTATCTTACATAATGTTTTATAGTAGCTGTCAAAGTGGTCTGTCACAATCTCTAAGTTTGAGAATAAAGCAAATGATTGCTGTGGGAAGTAGGCATGCTTGCCTTCGTCTCAGTTTTGCACTACAAAAGAACTGTGATGTTTATGAAAATGTGCACAGGATTGACATGCTTTGGAGAATCCAGCCCATTGTTGCATTCTTCTCTCAATGAGTAAAGATGCAAGGTTATGTTGCAGAAGCATAGTTTTTAAAAAATGGATCCACAATATGAGAAAGATATACTATATTGGAAAGAATGATCAAAAGCTTCCCTGAAGAATTGGATTTTAAGGAAGCTCTCATAAGAGGACCAAGGTGGAGGGACATACAGAAGAAACTCCAGAACTCTTTGGCAGATAAAGGCATGACCATAAATAGCTTGAAGGATGTAGGAAGTGGATGGAAATTGTTTGCTCTGAAGTCTTTGCGGAATTTCTATACATTCAACCTAGCAAGTCTTTTTTTCCAGCAATTATTAAAATATACAATTGAAGGATATTATAGAATCCAACTCACCTTTCAAGTGCTTCATCATACTCATTTACTGCCTTTTTCACAGCATCATCATCTCGATTATGTCTTGCTTCTTGTACCTAAATTGAAGATGTTATTTTGTATTTATGATACTCACTAGAAAGTTCACTTGAATATCAGAGACATCTACTATTCTCCACTGTAGGTTACTGAAGTACCACCAGATTTTACAAAGCTGTCAGTATAATGACTGATAATCCTTTCTCATAACAAGAATAGTCTCTAAACTTTGAATTAGGACCAAACCTTGCTAAACTAAATACAGTACTGCATTTAAGAAAACATTTTCTTCAATGAAAATACATAAGCAAGTTCACAAACATTTACGAGAAAACATTAATCTCAAGAAAAAAGGGTTTAGTCAACTGGGAATACAAAAAAAAAGACTTGAAATTATATTTTGACCAGGGCTAGTTTAATTTGGATAAATGCAAGATATTACATTTTGGCAATACAAACAAGGGGCAGGACTTATACAGTGAATGGTAGGGCCCTGAATAGTATTCAGGGACTTAGAGAGACTTAGGAGTTCAGGTACATAGTTCTTTGAAAGTTGCATCACAGTTAAACAGGGCAGTTAAGAAGGCATTTAGCACACTTGCTTTCGTTGCTCAGACCACTGCATTAGGAGTTTGGACGTCATGTTGAGGTTGTAATGTTGGCAGGGCCACTTTTGGAATACTGTCTACAGTTCTGGTCCCCCTGTTATAGGAAGGATATTATTAAATTGGACAGGGGTTCAGAAAAGATGTTGCCAGGACTGGAGGGTTTGAGTTATCAGGATAAGCTAGATGGGTTGGAATTTTATTCGCTGGAGCGTAGGAGATTGAGGGGTCACCTTATAGAAGTTTATAAAATCATGAAGGGTATCGACAAGGTGAATAGCAAAGGTCTTTTCCCTAGGGTGGGGGAGTTCAAAACTTGGGGGCATATTTTTAAGGTGAGAGGAGAAAGATTTAAAAAGGACCTGAGGGGCAATCTTTTAACACAGCGGGTGGCTCATACGTGGAATGAACTGCCAGAGGAAGTGACAGATGCAGGTACAGTCAGAACAGTTAAAAGATATTTGGACAGGTACATGAATAGGAAAGGTTTAGAGGGATATGAGCTAAACGCAGGCAAGTGGACGAGTTTAGTTTGGGAAACCTGGTCGGCATAGATGAGATGGACTGAGGAGTCGGTTTCTGTTCTGTATGACTCTAGATGAGAGGCCAGCTGAAAATGAGGTTCCATAGCTTGGATCAATCTGTAGTACAGTTCGGACAGTGCACAGCTGGAGCAGGAAAGAGGGGTTGTGATAGACACTGAAGACCTTAGACAGTGACAGCTATCTTCTGAGGAAGAAGATGAGGAAAATGAGCAAGAGGAACATTGCCTTCTGCATGACAGAACAATCATCAAGCACAGCAAGCCAGACAGAACTTTTCTGATTTTCTGATGAAGGGTCTAGGCCCGAAACGTCAGCCTCTCTGCTCCTATGATGCTGCTTGGCCTGCTGTGTTCATCCAGCCCTGCACCTTGTTGTCTAGGACTTTGCAGACACCCAGTTCCAACAGATGAAAACAGGGTGAAGCGATTATTCATTGACTGTAAATTTGTTGTTGCTTGAAATACTGGGAACCCTTGACTGTTTTCAGAGCAAATACAGCTTTTTTTTTGTTCACTATTTCTTTGCTTTTCCTGCTGTTCAATAAAAGTTAACATTTTTAACTTTTTGGAGCTTTCCATAATGTGATGGTCCCACATTTAGCAACAAGATGCTATGCTAAAATAAAATAAGATGCTATGCTATGCTGGGTGAGAGAAAGACCAGCCCTCTCCTAGATATGGTTCTGAAGTGGTATGGCCTGAAGGACAGATAGCCTGTGTAGAATGATTTTTTTAGCTGCAGTTACATTCGATCAGACAGTTGATGAAATAAAATAGCAGTATTTATTCCTGTGGCATTCTGTTTCCGATGAATTGTCATCTGTGCCATCTATATGCCAAAAGAAGCTGTTTTTTTTCCATTTTACACCACTATGTGCACTGTGAAGGGCTATTTATGACTAGCAGTGATTGACCTGGTGCACAGCTGACTTTAAATATGACACCTGTGTGAAGAACCCTGGGAGGTCCTGGCAGTGGTAAGTACACCCGCCATCAGTGAGCAGACAATAGTGCAAGTGTGGCATAATTGAGGAGTGACTCACACAACATTGAGATACGCAGCGTAAAATTGTGTGAGATAACTCATTAAAGCTCAGAGACAGAAACTCTCCGTGAAACTCTGTGAAATTGACACTTAGCTCATTTTTGGTATAACTCAGACCAGTATGTTGAAATTTAAACTGGGACAAATCGCAGATAAAAAGGACAGACTACAGATTAAAAAGGACAGTGTTGTTAATAAAATTTCAGTTATACATATCATAACTGTTTCTACTGTCTTCTTGAACTGTGAAAAGTAGCCAACAGTTATTACATATTTTCTCCTTCCAAAGCTTGGGCTTTGAATATAAGGCCCTGCGACACTGGGGAGAAGTAATTATAGATTTGCAATAGGTGTGGCAATAGTTTGATAGTTTGGGGTCAGAATGTGTTGCTATGTTAAAGCACATTTTTAATTTTTCCATCAAACTTATACGCAACAACAAATGAGACAAGCACTAACAAGAATCCAATCTAAATCATGGTCAACTGTTTCTGAAATTAGATAATTACCTGTTTGGTCAATTTCCGCAACTGCTCAGTAAGTTTACCTGCCATTTCATCAAACTTTCTGAACGCCTAGAAAAATGTAGAAAATTAATTATGAATTTCAATGTTTGAAAAAGTTACTAGAACACTATCTAAAATGCCAAAAATATAATTATCTATGATATGAATATTTCATTGGACGACTATTGAGGGTAACATCATTCACGATTCTCATCTCACATTACAGAGAAGAAATAAAAACAAAATGAGAGCGGACAACAAGGCCTGCATTTTTCAGCAAACCAGGTCATGCAGTGACATCAGGGAATAGAGATGAGAAGTCCATGAGATGAAAGGGCCACAATAGAATACTTTTCCCTAACTAGCATGTGTGTCAGTCACACATGCTTTACCACCCTGCCAAATTTAAATGGCAATGAAGGCTTTGGACACTGGCCAACTTACCCATCTTTTGTAGCTGGACCAGTACCGGTTCAGGCACTGTGGTGATGGGGGTGGAGGCTGTTGGGCAGGGTTGCAGCAGATAGGACTCAGAGGTTGAGGTGATTGTGCCAACTAGGGAGGAAGAAAAGGCCCCACCTTTCCCTATCCCACACTGTCTAACCATTAGCAACTTCCTGAGATTCCCTCTAGTGGTAAAACTGCTCAGAGAAAAATTCTGAAGATGAGCTTTTTTGGCATTTTTAATTCATGTGCTCAGACATGATGAAACTAGACCCAGGCCTTCCAGCTCATTGGCAGAGATCTAGCTACAAAAGCCCTCATTCAACCTTGTATACAAACTTGAATCATAATAACTACAACTTGAAGCTGATCCGACTTTACTGAATGGCACAAAATGGAAACAACTGACAACAGTATGATTTGAAAATCATCTTGTTTTGAAAATGGAGCGCATGAGTTTTCAAAGAAATGAAGTCTTCTGCTGAATGAAGTAAATGCCTTCAAGAAAGTTCTTCAAAAAAGTGAAAAGTCTCCTATAAAGGAATCTTCTTGCAGGTGCCCTCTGAATGATTAGTTTTAACGTTTCAGATTGGCAAACCCCTTGTAATTCCTTCTCATGTTCATCGTACATTGTGTTCCTCATGGATTAGGGTAAATCTTTTGCTCAATCTTCCATATCTAAGTCTTAATAATAAAGCAATATCTTCTTACCAAATTACTCATTTAGCGCATACAAGCTAGATCCTATGAACATGAACCAGACAACTTCTTGAACAGCCACTAGTTCTTGTTGGCCATATCTGCTGTTATTATAAACTTCTCTTCCCATCATATACTACTCAATTACTCTCTCACTGCTTTAAAGAAACTGAACCCTATTATCTTAAAAAGTTTAAGATCTCACCTAACGTAATGTTATGATATTGGAGCAGAACAAATTAAGCATTCAGCTATATCGTCCTACAGTGTTAACCGCAAAGCTTATTTATAATTCATAATGTTTACACTGCTTTTAACACATGACAATGCAATTGCATTGGGTGAGGCATAGTAGTTTCAGAATAAAAGAGGAGAAACTTTGGAGTTCTTACCTCTTCTGGCGCTGTCTGACACGTTATCATGGCATCCAAGAACTCATATAAGTACTACACAAAAAAAAATCCAGACAACCATTCAGACATTAACTAAATTTATAAATATGTAGTCTGTTATGACAATGCTGACTTTGTTCTTACAGAATATAAATCTAAAGTTTAATCAATTGATTTGAGGAACGTTTGCTTAGAATATTTTACAAATACTTTAATTTTTGCATTCAGGGAGCATTCCCAAAATATGCCAAACTGACAAGCAACACTGACAAATAAAATGAAATCCAAGAAATTGCAGCAGTCTATGGTGCTGCTACATAGCGAATACATATTTTCCATATATAATTACTTGGATACTCTCAAGAACATTGCACTCTTCCAAAACCTAACTAGTTACCTCCTTTAGCAGGCCAATGAGGAGATCCAACACTAGATAAGCTGTAACAAAAACAGAAGTTGCTGGAAAAGCTCAGCAGGTCTGGCAGCTTCTGTGAAGGAAAAAATCACAGTTAACGTTTCGGGTCCAGTGACCCTTCCTCAGAACTTGTCACCAGACCCGAAATGTTAACTCTGATTTTTTTCTTCACAGTTGCTGCTAGACGTGCTGAGCCTTTCCAGCAACTTCTGTTTCTGTTCCTCATTTACAGCATCTGCAGTTCTTTTGGTTTTTAACTGGATAAGCTGTGTCTGTTCAGCCTTCTAAAAACTATGTGAACATGTCTTTGACAATGAAGATGTATGAAAGCCAACAGAAGTCTTAGGCTGGAGGTTCACTCATAGATTGGCTAGCAGAGTTGAGATATTTTCCAGTTTGCCACACCTGCCTCTGGTCTCAGTACTCCTAATCATGAGATGGAGTTAGGGCTGTTTAAAAGGTCTACGTTAATCCTCTGGAAGTTTGTCCCATTATTTTCCTAGCTATTAGACCATCCAAGCTTTTTCTCCTCACACTCCATCAGCACCCTGCTTCCCATCAGCACTCCGCTTCCCATCAGCACTCCATTCTCATTACGTGACAATTCATACGCTTCAATGCTCCCCAGCCATACTCAAGACCCCTTACTGTCCCTATGTTAACAGCAGAACACTTAATCATCTTAAAATCTATTATTGAGAAAATGTTAGAATTGATTATTAAGGATGGTATAGCAGGGCACTTGGAGACTCAACAAAATCAGTCAGAGTCAACATGGTTTTGTAAAAACGAAATCACTCATTACTAATTTTTCAGAATCTTTGGGAAAGTTACAAACAACGTAGGTAAAAGAGAATGTGCACTTGGATTTCTAAAAGGCATTTGACAAGGGTTTACATCAAAGATTACTACGAGCAATTAGTATAGAGGAAACATATTATCATGCAAAGAGTATCTGTTAGCTTACAGGAAGCAGACAGTAGACATAAATAGATTATTTTTTAGGTTAAGACATTGCAACTATTGGAGTCTATAGGGAGTGGTCTAACTGGTGCAAAAACACTTCAGTTGATTCTCCATTCCTGGCAACACCCTCTCCAGAGCAACTGAATCTTCCTCAAATATGATAACCAAAATGGTGCGCAGTTCTGTGGTTTAATTAAAGTTTTACATCATTCCAGTATAATCTCCCTGATCTTTTATTCTGTGCTTCAACTAATAACTCATATTGTATGCTTTTTTAACCACCTTGTCTCCCTATCCTGCCAATTGCAGGGATCCTTAGATGCGATATCTAAAATTCTTCAGTTCCTCACCTTCTCAGCATCTTACCTTTTAATTATAACATAAATGAATAATGTCTCGTTTGCCCTCCCAAAATATATTACCCTTGCATTTGGGTTGAATTTTGTTTACCATTTTTACAGCTGTTTATACATTTACGAGTTGGACGAAGGAATTGAATGCAATGTCTCCAATTTGCAGATGACCCTAAGCTGGATGGCAGTGTGTGCTCTGAGGAGGATGCTAAGAGGCTGCAGGGCGACTTGAACACTGGTTGAGTGGGCAAATACTTGACAAATGCAATATAATGTGAATAAATGTGAGATTATCCACTTAGGAAAAACAGGAAGGCAGACTATTATCTGAATGGCGCCAGTTCAGGAAAAGGTGAGGTGCAACGAGACCTGGGTGTGATGGTGGAACAGTCACTGAAGGTTGGCATGCAGGTGCAGCAGGCAGTGAGGAAAGTTAATGGCATGCTGGCCTTCATAGCGAGAGGATTTGAGTATCAGAGTAAGGATGTCTTGCTGCAGTTATACAGGGCATTGGTGAGGCCACACCTTGAATACTGAGTGCAGTTTTGGTCTCCTAGTCTGAGGAAGGACATTCTTGCTATTGAGGGAGTCCAGCGAAGGTTCATCAGACTGATTCCCAGGATGGCAGGACTGATATATGAGGAAAGACTGGATCAACTGGGCTTGTATTCGCTGGCATTTAGAAGAAGGGTGAGGGGGGTGCGAAATCTCATAGAAATATATACAATCCTGATGGGACTAGACAGGCTAGATGCTGGAAGAATGTTCCTGATGTTGGGAAGTTCAGAACTAGCGTTCACAGTCAAAGAATAAGGGGTAAGCCATTCAGGACTGAGAGGAGGAAGAATTTTTTCATTCAGAGAGTTGTGAACCTGTGGAATTCTCTCCCACAGGAAGCTGTTGGGGCCAGTTCATTAGATATACTCAAGAGGGAGCTGGATGTGGCCCTTGTGGCTAAAGGGATCAAGGGGTGTGGGGAGAAAGCGGGAATGGGATACTGAGATTACATTATCGCATTGAATGGTGACGCAGACTCGAAGGGCCGAATAGCCTACTCCTGCATTTATTTTCTATGTTTCTATTTATCTTCCACCTGACCAGTCCATTCCTATCTTTTTGAAGCCTACAGATTTATGTCCCACTATCAACCAATTTTTCTAATATTTTAGCATGACAAAACTACTAAATGGCAATTGCCTTTGTTTAACTTACTGGTGTGAGGAACTTGTAAGTTAGGTGAGCGTTTTCTGCCAAGACATCAGCAGCCAAGTCAAAATACTGAAAAGGTAAATTTAAAAAAATTAGCAGTTTTTTTTTAAATTGCACCACTAAATTATTGCTTGAAAATTGTGACCCATATGTTAAACATTCAAAATGGAATTTTACATTGGTTCTTCATCATCCCAAAAAATGTAACACATATGAAAATCATGAGATTTTGATAGCTTTTACACTTAATTACTCGACCAGTGCTTCCAATTACACATTATTATGTAAGGTTAATCATCAAATTTGTCTGTACATGCACTTAAATATAATGGAAGACTGTCTATTAATACTTGGACTTTAAAATATTCGAGGAGGCTTGAATTGCAAATCTACATAAACTTTCATGTCAAGTCATATAAATCAATCTCATTGCCAATGGATAGGATCTAAGCTCTAGTCGTGGACACTTAAACAGCTAACAGAATGAGGTTCCACAAATATCCTTATTCTCAATGATGAAACAGCCCAGCGCATCAGTGCAACAAGGTTGAAGTATTTGCATCCATCTTCAGCCAGAGGCGCCAAATTGATGACTTATCTTGTTCTCCTCATGAGGTCCCCAGCATCACAGATTCTAGTCTTCAATTTAATTCACTACAATTTACATCACAAAATTACTGAAGGCACTGTTTACCACAAAGGCTACAGACTCTGACAACATCCCAGAAATAGTACTGAAGTCCTGTGCTCCAGAACTAGCTATGCCACTAGCCAAGCTGTTCCAGATAGCTATAATAGTGGCACGAAACAGGCAATAGGGAAAATTGTCCAGCTATATCCTATCCACAAAAGGAAGGACTATTCCAACGTGGCCAATTACTGCCCTATCATTTTATTGTCAGTCATCAGAAAAGTGATGGCAGAGCTATCAAGTTCAATATCAACTTGTTTAGTTGCATTGAGTTACATTCAGTTACACTACTGCAGCACACCAAGACTCCATCTAAATTCACAACATCTACCATCTTGAAGGACAAGGGTAGCAGATACATGTGAACACCATCATCTGCAAAGTTCCCCACCAAGCTACGAACCACTGTCTTGAAACTATACCACTGATTATTCACGGTTTCTGTATCAAAATCCTGGAACATCTAACAGCATTATGGATGCACTGATACTCCAAGGATTGCAGCAGTCCAAGAGACAGCTCATCACCACCTGCATAAGGTCAATTAAGGAAGGGTAATGAATGCTGGCCTAGCTAGTGGTGCCCACATTCCTTAAATGAATAAAAAACGTACAAAAGTACAAATAAAGAGAACTTCTAACCCAGAGCAGTGCAGTCAGAAAATTTGCACCATTCAATTTGCTAGTTGAAAACTCTGCCAACGTATAAGAAAACTTGTTTGTCCATTGGTCTTCTGTTTATTGAGAACCCATATTTGATCTTCTGCATGCTACATATACATTAGCATGGCAGAGATGAAGACTTATTCAAAATAGAAGAGGGTACTTCTATATAGTATGTCTTTTGCCTTTGACATATAGAAAGATGGGCAGAATGACAGATTATGTCCCGCAGCATAAACTGTAAATTTTAATTTGCTTTTTTTAAAAAACAAAAATATAAATAACTCAACTCATGGGAATAACACTTTAACACTATTTCAGATCCTTCAGTTGTTCAAGATGGATATCTCACTGTAGTCATAAACATGCACATAGATGCTGCAGTTTGAATAAATTATACTGTAAAATATATGCAACAGAACAGTCTGGGAACAGAACATGAAGGTGAAGTCCTTAATATTACATTTTACTGCCTGACTATAAACTTGACAGCAAATTTAGGACAAAATTCAGACCCCTGCAGTCATTATGGACAAACAGGAGTTAATTAAGGAAGGCCAGCATGGATTTGTTGAGGCCAAATCCTGCTCAACCAACTTACCAGTGTTCTTTGATAAGATAATGGAGAGCTGATGAAGGTAATGTTGTTGATCTGATGTACATGTATTACAAAAAGCCATTTGATAAAGTGCCCACAAAAGACCAAACTTACGGAATAAAGTGGAGAGTAGAAACATGGATACAAAATTGGCTCAGTGACAGAAAACAGTGAGTGGTCGTAAATGCTTGTTTCTCAGACTGGAGGAAAGCTTATAGCAGCTCTGCAGGAGTCATTGGACTCTTGCTTTTCCTGATATATATTAATTATATTAGACCTCTGTGTACAGAGCATGATTTCAAAATTGCAGATTATATAAAACTTAGAAAATATTTGTCAACTGTGAGGATAGAGCATAATTTCAAAAGAATTCAAGATAGATCGGTGGAATGAACAGACTACTGGCAGAAAATATTGAATGCAAAGAAGTGAGAAGCAATTCAATTCCATAGGAAGAATGGAGATGGACAATATAGAGATTGCACTTCTGAAGTGCATGCAGGGAGCTGGCTTTTAGGCCCTCTTTCACTAGCAGCATTTTATAGTTATATACACCCGATAAAACCTGAAACTAACATAATTGGAAAATACAACTGATCAATCTGTCTCATCATTCCCCTCTTCAGCTTTCATCCCTAGCTTTTGCCATACAGGGATAAAATTCCACTTCAACATGAAAACAGCAGTGCACTGCCCAAGCCTGCGCTGATGTTGATGGTAAAATTAGGTGGCATGTGAACTGATCTACCATTTAGGCTCTACAAGTTGTATTTAACCTCTCTGCAAGCATCGGAGATCTTTCTTCACTTAAAATGCTCCTGATAGTTTCCCTACTGTCCAATATAGTTCCTCACAATCTCCTTTTCTGTATTCTCCCAACTTTTGTTTCTCTAAAGGGTGACAGACAGCAAGAATGAACCAAAGATAGAGTGATGACTTCACCATGAAAAGACAGTCATGATGCTAATTGGAAATTACTTTAAAAGAAGTAGTGTGTAAAAGATAAGTAATCCCACTGTAGGCAGAGCATATCACATACAAACAAGCAAAAATAATAACAAAGCAGTAAACACACTTCGTATTTGCAGTACAGCAAAAGCAGGTTGCCAAAGGTTTCTGGTGGGAATGGATTCTGCTGAAGTAAGAATTGTAGTTTTTCAAATCCCTCAGTAGGTTTGGAATCCATGTTCATTAGAGCTTGGTTGTGTAGAGTAACTGGGTCAAGTTCCTGGAAAGAAAATACAGTGATGAACCCATGCTTGACTAGCCCCATTCAAATAAATGACAAAATATAAACAATGCAAGAGATAGCAACAACTGCAGATGCTGGAGTCTGAAATAACAGTGTGGAGCTGGAGGAACACAGCAGGCCAGGCAGCGTCAGAGGAACAGGAAAGCTGACGTTTCAGGTCGGGACCCTTCTTCAGAAATGGGGGAGGGGGCTCTGAAATAAATAGAGAGGGGAAGGGTCGGGCTGGGGAACGTAGGTGGGATGGCGATAGGTGAGTGCAGGTAGGCAGTGGTGGGGATTGGTCAGTGAGGTGGGAGGAGCGGATAGGTGGGAGAGAAGACAGACAGGTCAAGGAGGCGGGGCAATCATCTCCGTCTCCTTGACCTGTCCGTCTTCTCTCCCACCTATCCGTTCCTCCCACCTCACTGATCAATCCCCACCACTGCCTACCTGCACTCACCTATCACCATCCCACCTACCTTCCCCAGCCCCACCCCTCCTCTCTCTACTTATTTCCCAGCTCCCTGCTCCTCCCCCATTTCTGAAGAAGTGTCCCGAACCGAAACGTCAGCTTTCCTGCTCCTCTGACGCTGCCTGGCCTGCTGTGTTCCTCCAGCTCCACACTGTGTTATCTATGAACAATACAAGCTTTCCTAAAGCTGTTAGATTGTATACTGAAAACAAAAAAATGCTGGAGCTCACAGCAGGTCAGGCAGCATCCATGGACAGAAAGCAAGCTGGCAAGCCTGTAATTCATTAACGTGGGAGCATAAGGGTATGAAGTTGAGTCCTTTGCCAAGGCTGTATATTCAGCCTTAGAGAGGGGAAGCTCAGGAGGTATGGTGAAAACAGAGCAGGGGCTGGTGTTGGGGATATTGAACTCTGGGGGCCAGAAAGCGATGGCATCTGAGTTCTAGGAAGGGGTGGGTGCTAAGGGACAGTAAGGGATTGGATCTGAGTGATGGGAGGGGATGGGGTACAAGAGACGGAAAGGGGAGGGTGGTGCGGGACGGATGTTGGAGTCCATAAGTTGCTGGAGCTTGTGTGCCACAATGCCCAAAAAAAAAGAGAAAAAAAGTCTTTTGTTGAGGTGATGGACGAGATGAAGGATGAAGTGAAACAGCTTTGAGAGAGGGTGAGTCAATGTTGCTGCAGGGTGCAGTCGAGTGCACACATATGATAGTGCATGGCACTGATCGTGGATTGTAGGCTGTGATGGGAACAGCAGTCCAAGGAATGTCACATGTCCTGGAGAATATAATCCTGGGTGGATTTGAAACACAAGGGTGAAACTTAAAGTTGAAATCCATGTGGGGTAAGTCGGAGTCACTGGCAGTCACTCAGAAATAAAACATGGCTGTGAAAACGAGTTTTGGCAAATACCTTGTCGAGCACCAGCAGTGAAAAGGAAAACAAAGAAGATGTGCACGGTGAAAGAGACAGCTGGAATTCCTGTCAGAGGGATGAGCAAAACGTCTTCAGGGTGGGCATTCCTCAAAGACACGTGCCAGTCTATTAAACACAATGTAGGAACAAATAACTATAGATGCTGGAATCCGTGCTGAAAACAAAAAGCGCTGGAGATCACAGCGGGTCAGGCAGCATCCATGGAAAGCAAGCTTGCTTTCTCTCCACAGATGTGGCCTGACCCTTTGTGATCTCCAGCATATTTTGTTTTCAGTACAAGTTCCAGCATCTATAGTAATTTGCTCCAACATTAAATTCTGCCTCAGTTTCCAAAATAAGTTGAAATATTTTGAAAGGTCATCCAATTCATGTTTCTCTACAAGTTAAAGGACTTGAAATGTCAACTCTGTTTCTCTCTCCACAGATACTGCCAGACCTTAGTTCATAGAACCTCTACAGTGTGGAAACCAGTCCTTCAACCCAACAAGTCCACATCGACCTTCAGAGCATCCCACCCAGACCCATCCCCCTATAACCCACCTAATCTAGACATCCTGAACACTATGGGCAATTTAGCATAGCCAATCCACCTAACCTGCACATTTTTGGACTGTGGGAGGAAACCGGAGCACCCGGAGGAAACCCACGCAGACACGGGGAGAATGTGCAAACTCCACACAGTCGCCTGAGGGTGGAATCGAATCTGGGTCCCTGGTGCTGAGAGGCAGCAGTGCTAACCACTGAGCCACCGTGCTGCCCTGCTTGGTTTCTGCAGTACTTTCTGCTTTTATGTTGTAAATCCTGGATTGATTCATTGTGAGCATACTGCATCTCTTTTGCAGCCAGGGGTATTTTGAAGATCTCATGGATGTTGTTAGTCTTGCCACCACTGGTCCACTTGTGACCATCAGATAATACTTTCTAGTGTCTTTGCTGAATTGCATCACTGCATTGTTTTTAAATGCACTAAATGAAAAGGATTGGCAACCAACTGTATGCATTTAATTTGGAATTCAGACAGAACTTATAGAGCCATACAGCATAGAAATACACAAGCTCCCATGTCAATCTTGGTTTTGAGTGTGTGTTTGCCAGTTTCTTTAAGAAAGTTATGTTGATTCTGACATAAGTTTCTGGTTGATTGGCTTTGTCCAAACACTGCGTTTACATTCACAACGTGGAAAGCCTTTCCGACCTCTGGTTGAAAGTTGCTCCACGTAATACAGGTCTGCCTGTGAACTTTGTATATTGGCTTAATTTTATCCTGGTTTCTGGTGTATTCTTTGCTGCTGTTGCCATATGGTTGCATCTGTCTTCTATTTGGTTATGACCTGTTGTAACCTCTGGTTGCATCTTTGGAGCCATAATTCTTGCACAGATGGATGCAGTTTGCTTTTATCCTTGCGCCTTGAGCAGATCTTGGAATGCAGGACAACTTTATAGTGGGTGTGGTAGACTACACTTGCCCTACAGCATGTTTGCTTTGTGTGTCCTGACTACAGCATCAATACTGTTTGCTATTGCAATTGCTTGCAATTGCTGTTTTTCAGGTACAATACATTCATATTTTCTGCCATCTTTTGGCATTAAAAAAATGCTGAGATATTTTTTGGAAGGGTTCAATATGTGTTGAGGTAATCAACAACTCCTTTATCCATTCTAATAACTCAGCCTCTGATTGTCACTTGTATTGTTCTTGTCACTGACAAATTGATCTATTAATCCATGTGAATTGATTCTTTGATCCACTCTGACTCAATCTGCCCCATGGCACAGCTTTGGTTGCCCAACACAGGGTCATGAAAATTGCCCAGTGCAGGAAGGCCCCCTAGAGGGTGCCTAAGGGAACAGCAACTTCTGGAAGCATGACCTCTGCATGTCGCAGACACAGAAAGGAAGGAAAAGTCAGGTCAGAATTAGAGGAGTGATGGTTCCCTGGGGCAGGAAAGCAAATTAAAAGAGTGGAATTCCAAGATCTTATAGGCAAAATTCCACCGGACCCCAGAGATTCCTCATCCCTAATTGGCATTATACCCCTTCTTTGCAAGCTCCAGTGGCTTTCAAAGTCACCAGTTTTATCCTCAGTTATAAAAAATCTCAAAAAAAAAGCTAAATGGAAATGAAAGGGGAGTGAGATTAAACAAGTTACAACTCTGAATGATTTTAACTAAAGCAAAACGAAAAGGTTTTTAATAACTGGTTCTAAAAGACAAAGCATTTACATTTGCAATTCCCACACTTCTGCCCTCAAACTCCCCAACAAGAATAAAGACAGAATCCCCCTTGTCCTCACATATCACCCTACCAACGTCCACATCCAGCGTATTATTCTCCGCCACTTCCGCCACCTATAACCCGACCCCATAACCAAACAGATATTTCCCTCCCCACCCCTATCTCCTTTTGTAGGGACCGCTTTCTCCGTGACTTCCTCCTCTGTTCCACACTCCCCACCGACACCACCACCCCCAGCAACTTTCCCTGCAACCACAGGAAGTGCTACATCTGCCCCTACACCTCCCCCCTCACCTCCATTCAAGGCCCAAAGAAAACTTTTCATATTAAACAGGGGTTCACCTGCACATCCATCAACTTGGTCTACCACATCCACTGCTCCCGATGTGGCCTCCTCTACATCGGTGAGACCAAGCATAGACTTGGAGACCGCTTTGTAGCTGCATCTGCGCTCTGTATACGACAAACGACAACACCTTCCGGTCGCCAACCATTTTAACTCCCCCTCCCACTCCCTGGGTGACATGTCCATCCTGGGCCTCCTCCAGTGTCACAATGACACCACTCGCAAACTGGAGGAGCAGCACCTCATTCTGCCTCGGAAGCCCACAGCCCGATGGCCTAAACATGGAATTCACCAGTTTTAAAATCTCCTCACTGCTCGCCTTATCCCATGTCCAACCCTCCATCTCACCCCGCCTCCTTGACCTGATACAACCTGTCCATCGTCTCTCCCACCTATCCGCCCCACCCATCCCACTGACCGATCCCCACCACTCCTTACCTGCATTCACCTATTACCATCCCACCTACCTTCCTCAGCCCCACCCCTCCTCTCTATTTATTTTCCAGCTCTCTTCCCCCTTCCCATTTCTGAGGAAGTCTCCCGACCCGAAATGTCAACTTTCCTGCTCCTCTGATGCTGCCTGGCCTGCTGTGTTCCTCCACCTCCACACTGTTTTGTCTCTGACTTCAGCATCTGCAGTTGTTGCTATCTCTACTTAATTTTATCCTTTGATTTTAATTCACAAACTTCTGCAGCAACGATTAAAGTTGAAAATACTGCATGGTTCAAGAGCTGCCCAGGTTCATTCAGCAGAAAAAAATAGGAACATTGTACCCACAAGCTCAATCATTTTAGAATACGAGTGGATTATGTGGGGCATTCCAATTACGTGCGAACGCAGGAAGTTATAGTATTTTTAACTGCGGATTAAAACAAAAAAACTTTTAAAAATGGCCTTACCTCTTCAGAACGTGGTGGCATGTCTGTCAATGCTTCTTGTGCTGCTTCGTCTGTTTGATGACAAGAGATGGACAGTGTAATTGCCACTGCAACAATATTCTGCACCATAACCCTTTGAAGCCAGATTACAAATAACTATACAACAGAGAAGATCATCAGAAATAACTTCTTGGTAGTACAGAACTTAAACATTGCTAAAATGACACAAGGTATCGAAGCTTTACATTTTGCAATCATTGGAACTAGATTGCAAGAAACAGGCTGAGGAAAAAAGGAACACCATTTTACACATCATGTGAAGACGGTGCCAACTGATCAGACTATGGTTGGCATGGGTATGTTGCAAGAACAGTTAACTATCAACCTTCATTCTTAGCCCAAGCAGGTAGATTCTGATTAGTCAGGGTATTGCCATGTGGATGCAGCAGCAATTGGTTATCTCCATAAAACTTTTTTATAAAAAATGTACAATGTATATATAAATTCACATTGCCTACCTAAAATAGAGTCCTGTGTATTGGTATATATAGCTTGTGGCGTGAGCAAATGCATTAAACTGTGAGCCTGACTGATGATCTTAAATTGATTTCTGCTGCAACTCTTAGCACAGTCTGGATTATTAACAAATGATTTCCAACAGCAGGATCTAATGGAGGATGTATTTTCCAAGGCTTGCAAACATTGACTGGTTGAACATGATTCGTATGCTGCTCGGTGCGAATTGGCAATGGGGTGTGGTATTTGATATGGTCTGCCAGCGTATCTTTATATGTAACATCGTCGGAATGCAGAAAATCCAGGGGATAAGGTTTCTCCCTAAAACTGGCTGAACCCAATGAATCAGAACCAGAATTTTCTTGCAACTGCGCTCATTTTCCGGCTGTAATTTAGACAGAAGTGAGTCACAAACCTTGTTAACGTGAAATAGAGGTTCTGCCAATTTCTGAGAAGCTGAAGCACATGAAGCAAAAATAATTCTGAGGAAATTTCAGGCCAAGGTCACAGGGTAAGTTAGTCAACATCATAAATAAAGCATAAATCGCAATCTTACAAACTCTTGAAATCATATTTTAACAAAGCAATGTAAAACAAACAAATGGTGAAAGAGAAATAAAAAAGAGAAAAATCTTGGCTTCCTTGAGAGTCATGACCCACTGCGATTGTCATTTTTGCACATCACTATTATACATTCCATTATGCTCCCATGAGAGACCAGGACCTTATTCAGCACTCCAAGTAGATTTAGTCAAGATTCTATCTAATATATTTACACAGAGACACAAGCATGGAAACAGATTCTTCGGTCCAATCAGTCCATGCCAAACATAATCTCAAACTAAACTAGTCCCACCTCCTTGCTCCTGGCCCATATCCCTCCAAACCTTTCCTATTCATGTACTTATCCAAACTGTCTTTCAAACATGTTTACATTTTGGTCCTCTTGAATTGCATTCTAAGCATTGTTTTCATTTTAAGGTCTTATTAAGCCATTATGTTATTATCTGTTGGTATCAAGGACCTTGACCTCTCTTGATATTATTTAGTTGACAATTTAGTTGTCTTTTTTTTTCAATTTCATCTGCAACCTTTTTGGAACTTTCAGAAATGCATTTAGCCTCGCTAAAAAGTATGACACAAGTTAGAAAACTGTTCCAATTATTTTTGTCTTAAACACTTACAGTTCTTCAGTTGGTATTCAATAGCTGCTTTAAGATTAAAAGCTTCAATCAATGCAGTTTCATGGAGCACTAACGTGTTCCCAACACTTCTCACATCAATTCCTTCAGTTGTCATACCAACACTGAGCTCTGAAAAGGAATACAATAACAAATCATTAAAGTAGTGATGCAGTTTAAGAAAATAGTGATGTAGTTTAATGAAGTTATTTAAAAAAAAAACAAAGAAAGCAGCGGAGTTTGCTTCTAAGGCACAGAATTGAAAATTGGAAGGGTTATGTTAAACTTTTATCAAACTTTGGTTAGGATTTGCTTAGGATACTGTGTTCACTTGTGGTCTCTATATTACGAAAAGAATACAGAACAATTGGAGACAGTGTAAAAACAAAATGTACTAGAATGATGTGGGAACTGAAAAGTTATATCCACCAGGAAAGACACAGGTTAGGGTTGTTTTCTATACATTAAAAATAGGTGACTTGAAAGAGATATTTAAGTTTATTCAAGGTTATTTAAGGTTAAGATACCTCAGGTTTGGAGTGAATTCAGACAGATATTTCCCCTTGTGAGTGAAACCAGGACTGGGGGCCATAAATATTAGACAGTTATTTTAAAAATCCAGCAGGAGTTTAAGGACTTATTTTTGGCTTAGACTGGTTAAATGTGGAGCTTTCCTACTGAAAGCACTGTGAAGGCACATAATATAGAAGCATTAAGTGAGAAACTACATTAACACAACAAAGAAATAAATTGATGGAAATGTTGACTGAAATGGTTGCTAGGAGGTTCATATAGAGTACAATCACCAACATGAGCCTTTGGGTCAATAGCCTGTTTGTGCTGAAAATGCTACATATGTCTAAACCCAAGCAATTAATAATTTAGCAATACAAAAGAATGATTGTTTAAACAAATTTTTCTAAACCTACAGAAGAATCATAAAGCAGTTTATCCCACGGTAATAAGACTGGAAAACAAACATCCTTTTAAGAGCTGAGACCATAAAAGATAGTTGGAAATTAAATTGTTTTAAATCACATTAAATTTTTTCACAGCATACAGGCATCATTGGCAAGGCAAGCATTTATGCCTCTTCCTAATTGCCCAGGAAGTGGTGGTGGTGAATTGCCTTCATGAACCAGTGTATTTAAGAGAGTTCAGTGCTGTTAAAGGTGGAGTTACAGGATTTTGAACTAGTGACAGTGAAGAAACAGGGATATTGTTCCATATCAGGAGAATGCGTGATTTGGAAAGAAACTTGCAGGCAATGGTACTTTCACGAACATCCTTCCTTTGTCCTTGTAGGTGGTACTGGTTGTACGTTTGGACAGTGCTGTTGCAGGAGCCTTGCTTAGTTGCTGCAGTGTATCTTGTAGATGGTACACACTGTTCCCATGGTGGTAGAGGAAGTGAATGCTGAGAAAGGTGGAAGGGGTGCCCGTCAAGTGGACTGGGTTTTTTTTTAATATATTCATTCATGGGACATGGATGTCACTAGTCAGGCCAGTATTTACTGCCCATGCCCAATTATCCACAGTCAATCACATTGATGTGGGTCTGGAGTCACATGTAGGCAAGACAGGGTGCTTGATACTGTCAGGCTTCTGAAGTCTTGTTGAAGCTGCACTTGCCCAGGCCAGTGGAGTGTATCCCATCACCCTGCTGAGTTGTGCCTTACAGATAATGGACAGGCTTTAGGGACTTGGGTTGAATCACTCGAACCAGAATTCCTAGCCTCTGATCTGGTCTTGTAGCCATAGTATTTATATTGCTGGTTCAGTTCAGTTTCTGGTCAATGGTAACCCTTGGGATTAGAGTAGTGAGGGAATTCAATGGTAAAACCATTGAATGATAAGGGAAGATGGTTAGGTTCTCTCTTCTTGGAAATGACTATTACCTGGCATTTGTGTGGCGTGAATGTTACTTGTCATGCCAAGCCCGAACATTTCCAGGAATCATTACATATGGACAAGTGCTGTTTCTGTATCTCTGGAGTTGCAAAGGTGCTGAATATTATGCAAACATCAGCGAACATCCCCATTTCTGACCTTATTTTGGAGGGAAGATCACTGATCAGACAGCCGAATTTGGTTGGATCTGGGGACACTAGCTCAACGAACTGTCCCAGCAACATTTTGGGGCTGAGAGGATTAGTTTCCAACAAACACAAGAACGTTCCTTTGTGCTATAATCAATACAAAGTGTCGCCACTGATTTTCATGGACTCCAGTTTTACTCCGACACCTTGATGCCACACTGATTCAAATGGTGGAGCTACCAGTTCAGGAACACCTTGCATTTGTGGTCTTCTAATTGCTTGCTGCTCCTCCAATCACAGGCTGTTTCTCATGTTTGTGCAGCATGCACGCGAGTGAACTATTGGTGAGTGAAAGAGCAGCCTCAAGAGGGTCTCTTCATTCTGTATACAGGGGCAACTTTTTTTCAATTTGGTTATCCCTATGTTTGGATCTTCCCAGTTGTTTTAGAGGCTTTCAGGGCAAATTTATCCTGCACTGCCACACACTCCCCTACCCTCTGTGTATTTTGAGCTCTGTGTTGAACAGTCATTCTCATGTCATCCCTTGACAATTCTTGAACCAAAGCTGTAGATCAGAATCCAAGTGGCCCGAACTAAGCATCAATGAGCAGGTATTGCTGAATAAGTCTCTCTTAATAGGACTATGGATGACAGCTTCCATCCTGTGCGATTTTCCACACTGTCAGAGTTGTAGCTTTACTAGAAAAGCTTGGAATTGGACACAGTTAGTTCTAGAGCACAAGCTTTCAGTACTATTGTCGATATCAGTGGAACTTCCTCCTCCTCCATTGAGTTGTTTAATTGCTCATCACCATTCACAACTGATTGTGGCAAAACTGTATAACTTTGATCTGATTCATTGACTGTGTAATTGCTTACCTTAGTTTATCACTTTTTGCTATCTGCTCTTTGGCAAGCATGTAGTCCAGTGCTGTAACTTCACAAAGTTGACAACTCATTTGTAATTATGGTGCTACACTTGGCATGGCCTCCTGCACACTTCACTGAACCGGGGTTGATGCCCACTCTGCCATTACCATCAAGCCAGGGGATATGCTGGACTGAGGTTACCTATATTTTAATTTATAAATTTTAGTGATCACAACAAACAAAAATGAATGTGAATAAAGCATCTTGCCTGGATGTTCCCTGATCCCTCGCTCTATTATTTCTGCAATGTATTTCAGAGCAGGTGCATACTGTTTCATGCTGTAATAACACAGGGCAATATTGTAGGTCAAATCTGAAAGAAAGCACAGTGAGACATTTAAATAAAATCAGAATATATTTCAAAGTGGCAAGCTCCGGCCTGCTTTAAACACTGTAGCTATCTAATCCATTACAATTAAAATTAGCAGAGTGAAGATCTTGGGAGTATGATTAGTGTGGTAATTTCAAAGTTTACTCTTTTTTAAGGATTAATCTCTCTTTAACACTAATTTCTTTTAAACATTTTCTATTTATATAGGCAAAATTTTTAAGATATAGGAGAAGGAGGTGCACCGACCCTCCGAAGCACATCCTACCCAGACTCAGCCCATCTCCATAACACCGCACATATTTTATTTCTACCTGGCTAATCCACCTAGACTGCACATCCCCTAGATACTACAGAACAATTTCGCATGACCAATCCACCTAATCTGAACGTCTTTGGCCCATTTTAGGATTTCACTATGTTTGAGCTAAATTGGAAAACTAAAGTTTCTCTCAGGTTTGTTAGGAAATGGAATCAAAAGTAATTGAGGGAGTTGGGAATGTGGAATTCAAAGTACAAACAAATCTTATTGAATAGTGAAGCAGGTTCAAGGAGCCAAATGATCTACTTCATCTCCTTCTTATTTTCATGAGCAATGATCAGGGAAATGCTGTGTTAAAATCAATGGTTGGTTACTTAAAAGATTCAAATCAACAGAGTGAATATTATATTCTGGTATGCTATGAATTTCAGTCATTTTAGGGTATGATAAAAAATGGTTGCATTTTATAAGCAATACTTTTATTTTTACAAGATAAATCAAAACTAATTTCCTTTATTTTGCTTTAAAGAGTAAATAGAAAATATTTAAACCAAAGCTACACAATTACCTGAATTTATAAAACTGTCCAGGAGCATTTAACTTTGGGAGAAATAGAAAAAAAAAATATTGAAAGAAGCATCAGTCACCAGAAGACATATAATTAAGGTGACAAGAAAATCCGAGGTGACATGAGGGAACAGCATTCTTTTAAACAGTAAGTTGTTGCATCTAGAATGCACTGCCTGAAAAGTTATGGAAGAGATTCACCAAAATATTTGAAAAGGAATTGGATAAATACCTAAAGGGAAAAGACACAAGATCATGAGAAAAGAGGATAGGGATTAATTGAATAACTCTATCTCAGAGCTGGTACAAACATGATGAGCTGAATGTCAATCTTCTGTGCCGTACCATTCCACAGGAGTCAAAAAAAAGGTGTGGTAAGGGCTTCAAAAAAATTCACAAAAGAAAAGCTTGACAAATACTCAGTCAACCATCAAATTTTGCATTTTGGACAGTTTACCTGGTTTGTAGCCCACAACCTGCATAGCTGTGGTAAATTTCTTGCAGGCCTCTTCGTAGTGTCCTTCCTTGTACAGCAGACATCCTAGATTAATCTCAGTGTCTGGATCATCAGTAGTCTGCTGCTCTACAAGACTCTATAAAAATACATTTAGTTACACTGCATGCTACAAATATAAAAGGAAAATATGTTTTAGCAATGACAATTCAAGAACCATGAATAATTGTATCACTTGCAACTTCTTTCTAATCAAAAAACAAACAAATAAGCAAACTGTTGCTTTATGATTAACTGAATTGAAATTGCTCTTTTAAAATAGTGTCAATCAAAAGTTACACAGTATTGACAGAGAAACAATCTGCTTGATTGGGCAGGTAGGCGATGAAGAGTTTGTCCTCCACTTGAGCAGGAGTTTCAGTACAATGTGTTCACTCTATCACCGTTTTATTTCCATGATATCTTACTTAACCCATTCTTAATATAAAAGATGCTGGAAGTGCAAATATAGAAATTGTTAGAAATACTCAAACTTGAATGAGAGAAACAATGATGTTTGTTTTTAGTTTTATTTTCAGTCTTTTATAAAATAAAGATCCTCACCACCAAATTAACCAATTAACAAACCCAACCCACCAGAAGCAGTTCATAAGAACAAAATACGAAAAAGGATAAATCAAAATAGAGTCAACGGAGAAAAATGCACCTCAGCCCTGTGATGCCCACCTCCCTACAGAAGTACCGAGGGTGCTGGTGGATAACCATGCTCCTCCTCTAAGGATATCCAGGCATGGACATAAATCGCAGATAACAGGCAAGAACTCAATTTCTTTTTATTAATAACCAAATTACAAAAACTCAGCTCATTTTCCTATTTTGAAGCACCCAACACCAAATCACCAAATCACCTTGATAACTAACTAGCAAATAACAACACTGCCCACTAGAGACAGTGTCACAAAAATGAAAACCAAAAAGTTAAAGCGATGAAGGAGGGGACTAAATCAAAATGGAATTTGTGAGGGAAATAATGCACCTCATGGTGGCCACCTCCCTACACATGGTCCATGGACTCCACAGCATTACAGAATAAGGACTCAGCTCTTTTTTTTAATAGACTCACCACCAAATCACCCAGTCTGCCCCGATGAGCAGTGCTTGTAACTGGTTTGTTTAATTAGTAAAGAAGTCAGTTCTCTTATTTTGCATCAGAACTAAGCTATTATAAGATATTTTTAATCAACTTGTTCAGACATGATTTTACACACCTCTGGTAGGATGGCAAGCCAGGTATCCTGGCTCAGAGGTAGGGTCACTGCTACTGCGCTACAAATGTCCTTTTAACATTAGCCTGGGCTTTGGATTACTCGTCCAGTTACATTTCTACTTGTTATACATCTATTTTCTAATCAACTATTCACAGTTGTTATTACACACATTTGAAGCAGATCGGACTTGAAACTGAGTGTCTTGGCCGAGAGGTAGGGCCACTGCCACTGCACCACAAGAACAATACAGTGGCATTAACACTTTGCCCCCAGTACATAAATATCACCTGCTCTCAATCAACTCTGAGGCTGTACTGATTGAGCCTCAAATCGACCTGCATTCTAACTCTCCACCTTACTCTCCTCCTTAAAAACACTTTTAAAAGCCTACTCATTTGATGAAACTTTTCATTATCTGACCTTGGATCACCTTACTCTAACTGCTGACACCATGTGAAATCCTCATTGACTAAATAATACCAAAGGAAGTCACACAGGCCCAAACAAATCACAAGAACAGTACTAATTGAATCAGAATGTTATTAGTCGCTCTAAGTCAAGTCAGTCTATCACAATCGGACATCGAAGTCCTCTAATGAGGCTGTGGGTGTTGTGTGTGCTGTTTCTGAGATAGCCAGGCATCTGCGCAAGTGAGAACTCTGGAGATGAATTGCAAGTGGGATTATTTCTGCCTGAAAGGTAGTCCTTGTTTCATTGCAAGTATAAATAATGGACTTGTGCTTTGCTTGAGTGTTTTTTATTGCAAGGGAGTAGGGGAAATAATTGGATGTGCAGGAAGCATTCCCCCAAGAGTCGCAGTGACAACTTATGCAAACATGGCTGGTGTCATTTTGTTTTACAAATGCCTTTACGAAGCACCTTGAGCTATTTAATCACACGAGTCAATAGCTAAACATTGTTGGTAAACAGCTAGACTGACCTGTTTAATTGGTCTATGCTTGTCAACTCCTTTGCAATTTTTTTTTTACGTGAAAGCACTTTTAAAATAGACTTTCCACTGCCTGCGTGCCGAAGAAAATGGGTCCAAATATTCCAGTTGTAAGTAGCTAAGTGACCAGCTTTGCAGACATAGCCTGAACCATTCAAACTAAATCTTAAATTAATGTGAGACATCACATCAACACAACATAAGTTATATCTGGCAAAGCTTAACCAAAAAAACACCTTGAAAAATCTTCTCAAAACCTACCTCTTTGATGTAGTTATTGGTCAACCGTCTTATCCTCTTGCTGCATAGATCACTGAAAGTTGCCACCCAGGTTGATAGGGTTGTTAAGAAGGCGTACAGTATGTTAGGTTTTATTGGTAGAGGGACTGAGTTTCGGAGCCATGAGGTCATGTTGCAGCTGTACAAAACTCTGGTGCGGCCGCACTTGGAGTATTGCGTACAGTTCTGGTCACCGCATTATAGGAAGGATGTGGAAACATTGGAAAGGGTGCAGAGGAGATTTACCAGGATGTTGCCTGGTATGGAGGGAAGGTCTTATGAGGAAAGGCTGAGGGTCTTGAGGCTGTTTTCGTTAGACAGAAGAAGGTTAAGAGGTGACTTAATAGAGACATACAAGATGATCAGAGGATTAGATAGGGTTGACAGTGAGAGCCTTTTTCCTTGGATGGTGATGGCTAGCACGAGGGGACATAGCTTTAAATTGAGGGGTGATAGATATAGGACAAATGTCAGAGGTAGGTTCTTTACTCAGAGAGTAGTAAGGGTGTGGAATGCCCTGCCTGCAACAGTAGTAGACTCGCCAACTTTAAGGGCATTTAAATGGTCATTGGATAAACATATGGATGATAATGGAATAGTGTAGGTTAGATGGGCTTCAGATTGGTTTCACAGGTCGGCGCAACAGAGGGCCAAAGGGCCTGTACTGCGCTGTAATGTTCTATGAATCAGAATGTATTGGCATTATACCTGTTTATAACATGCCATAGAATTTTCTAACTAAAAACCCTCCAATGTGTACATTGATTTAGCAGATTCTACCCAGGAAACCTATAATACTGGCACAACTTGAATGGAAACTCTAGTCTTTAATGTGAAGAAGAAAAGCCCAAGATATGTTATAAACAGATATAATGAGAATAGATTCTGAATCAGCAAGAAGTTAGGGGTGTTGACGAAAACTACAGAGAGTTGGTGTTGAGAAAAGTTGAGAGAGAGAGAGAGACAAACATGGAGAGGTGCAGAAGCAGGAGTTCTACTAGAGAGATATATTCAGGAAAAAGGATATTTTGGGAAGGAATACAGAAAAAGACCACAGAAACTGACTAGGACATAAGAACATAATCATCTTCTAATGAACTACCTGTGAATGCAGATTGATCGCTCGTTGATTATTGTACATTACTTGCAGTTTAACGTGGGCAACACATAAACTTCAACACAATCACAGCGTGCAAAATTAATTTACATTACATTTAGATATATGATCAAGTTAAACATCTAGATTTGCTTTAAACTGTGGGCATTTGAAAGTTAAAAAGAATGAATCTATCCTTACCTTTGCTCCTGAAAGGTCTTCTTCTCCATATTTAATTGCAGCTTGTAACTTCAACACCTGGTTAAGAAATCAGAATTAGTTTATTTATCACTATACTTTCCTTTAGAAAATCAGTCTTGTACCTTAAAATTTGAATTATTAATGATGTTAAACACAGATCGGCATGCAGTTTACACTTGACTGAACTGTATTTTTTGAGCAATTCTCCTGAAATCAGCAAGACCAGAACAAAAAGATGCAGATTTCAGGCACAAATCAAGTTTCTGCAACAGCTTCATTCACTTTCTTACATGTTTTTGAGGAGGGTCTAATAATTAATTTGGTTTTTTTGTGCATGGATAGTAAAAGGCTCATTTTGAAAGTTTCTGAACATGTTTTTCTTTAACTTGAGAGACTGACACTACTATAACTAGCAAATTATTAAAAGCAATTTTCAAGAAGTTAAAACCAAGTTATAGCAAGAGCTGGAGCGGCATCAGCTTATTTTTGGAATTGACTGCATACAATAACCAAATGCCTAAGAAATATATTTTAAGGATTTAAAAAAAAATTACATTCAGAATGTTGCCTAATTTCAGATATCTTTTAATCAATCTGTTGAGGGATGTTATTATGCAACTCTAAATGAGGTGGGAGTTGAACCCAGGCCTCCTAGCTCAGAGGTAGGGACACTAATGCTCTGCCATAAGAGCTCCTTTGGTTTTTAAGCAGCAGAGACCCATTTTATTGGTTCATGGTAGAATGTTTGACAGGTGATGGACAATTCAGTTTGAAGGGAAACTGAGGAGAAAATAAAATACTTCCTGAATTGTTTTGCACTTGTATTGCCAATTGAACCCAAAACAGAAATGCTCCACCACTGATCTTAAAGATTCTGCAGCTTAGTTTTAATGGATAATTTTTGCTTAGTTTGAAGAACAAGGCGCTGCTGAAAGGAAATGTGAAATTATTTGAGTGAAAGGGGGATGAAGGAACAAAGAAAAGCATTAGCCAATTTTATTGCATTGTGATCGGTGAACCTTCTGTGACATTTCCAGGCTTCTACTTTTGTTAACTTTTTACAAAAAATACATTTTCAGCCCAAAGGCTGAATTACAATGTGAGTTATTTTGAAAAATTCCTACTTCGAATAAGTAATTAGGTTAAAATATGCAAATAAGTAACAAACATTTTGGGGCTCTTGTGATGCAGTGGTAGTGTTCTTTCTTCTGAGTCAGGTGATTCAAGTCCAACCTGGCTCGGAGTTATTACATAACACTTGGGAACAGGTGATTAAAAATAATCTATAACAATCATGTGATACTGAAAATAGAAAAACCAAATCAGCTGGCAATAGAAGTGGTAAGCAGGATATTAAAGGATAGGAAATCCTGAATTAAAATTATTTAATCAAAATTAAAAATCAGTAGAGTCATTGCTACATCACAGGTGCTGAAGTACACATAAATATACTTCAAAAACATGTTTTTCTTCAAGAATCCACAGCGTGTCTGCATTGGATGTTGAAACAGTACGAGAAAGCTTACTTAAAGTAAAAAGAGTAACTATATTCTGCAAGTGCTAGTGGAATCAGAGAGCTATTATTTGTCATTCTGGAGTGTGAATACTCCAATGTTGAAAACAAAATCAAATTCAACTGGAGTTATTAACTCCATATTACAGTTTCAAAGAAATTAACCATGACTCTATGAATCTTCTCTTAGAACCACAATTCTTCTGTTTTTATTTTGTCATGGAGTCTTCTCTTAGAGTGGCGAGAATCAAATAGTTGAGTTGTACTTCAGTAATTAGGACAAGCATGAGATAAAGAATTATAGAACAAAGTTGTTCTTCAGAGTAGCATGACTAATGATGATGATATATTTTTAATATATGGTTAATTACTCTATACAAGGTCTGATAATACTATTTTACATAAATTTCTTCTCGAATCAGGCAAAATACAGATTTGAATTTCCCAATAAAATAACAGCTTTCTAAAAGATACAAGTTGTAAACATATAGTTTGATGTACGTCTAATCTTACCTTAGTTTGATAAACTGGATTATCTATGAGAAAGGTTGCTTTCATTGCTTCCGCATACATGCATGCCTTGTAAAGGGATTGTGCGTGATAGAGTTTGTAGTCATCCACTTCTGGATGAATCTGTACCAATTGTTCATAGCAGTCTGCAGCATTGGAAAAATCTTGCATCTGAAAGTAGCAGTAACCCAGTAGCGAGAGTGCTGCCCGGGACTGGAAACAAGTTATTTATAAAGGAGGAAGCAAAAGAGCATATCAATATTTAGCAATAATAACAATCATTTTGTATAACCAAAATATCTTATTTGAACAATATATTTTCAAACACTAACAGCCAATACATGCAATTAGTTGTAATGTTTTAATTTAAGCTCGATGAACTGAGCATCAAGATACTGATCTATCAATCTGAAGGACAGTCATATTAGACTTGAAATGTTAATTCTATTTCGCTCTCCACAGAGGCTATCAGACCTGTCATGTTTCTCCAGCACTTTCTGTTTTTGTTCCCAGCATCTGCAGTATTTTTTTTCCTTATTCACTAATCTATCATTGACTAATTTAGGAAAACAAGCCTATGCTGTGTTTTTGTTCCACGGGTATACAAGTTAAAGATTTAGCAACAAACCTATACAACAAAAGCATGTAATTTCTCAGAAAAAGCAGCTGACACTGACAGAATTCAAATATTGCAATATCTCAGACTTTTTAAAATCTTCCAGTCCAGAAAGAGGCCATTTGGCCTGTCGTGCCTCTGCAGGCTCTTTGAAAAAACAGTCACGCTTAGTCTCAATACCCTGGTTTTTTTGTCCATACTCATTAAGTTTGACATCGCCAAGTAGCCATCCAACTCCACTTTAAAATTATCTCTGAAGTCAGCTTCCATTGCCTTTTCAATTAGAGGATTTTGGATTCTGACAACGGAGAGCAAAGAAATTCTTGTCTCCTCTTTGGATCTTTTGACAATGACTTAAAACTAATACTAGTAGCAATTGACCTACTCACCAGAGGAATTTCCTGTTCCAATCTATCCTACCAAAATATGTGATCATCTTGAAAGATTCTATTAAGTAACTTCTTAACCTTAACTGTTACAAGGAGAGACCCACGACAAGTTTTCACCCCACTGCAAGTTCTGGTAAACTTCCTTAGGACTTTTGCCTTTATAACTTTATATAACATAAAGAGATTAATAAAATTGCAAACCATTGACAACTAATGTCATAGCTTCTGGATCTTTCAGCCACAGTATTGAACTCAGATGTTCTGCATCATTGCAAATGGAGGGCAAAGAGGCTCACTGAGATTATTGCATTGTCAGAAATTTGTTTTCAACATTTGTAACGTTCATTTTTCTCAAATTAGATGTACATTTAGTCAAGTTTTGAAAATAAATATAACCATTGTGAACTAAAACAAGACAAATTCAAAGTTACTTTTGAATGTTTCTGAAGTTCATTATTGAGTATATGAATGGCTTCTCCATATCTTCCATCTCGAATCTGAAAAATTAAAAGACGCCATTAGAGATATCAGCAGTGGAAATGCTTGCCATAATGAGCAGATACAGAACAAGCCACTGCCTAAGACCACTTAGATGACATGTCAATTATAAAATAAAATAGATTTTCAGAATGCAATGATTTTCTGCAACAGTCGAGAACAATTTAGTGCTTTTAACAAACCATTAGGAAACAACACTTCTATTCTCTTTCGTAAAAGCATTTTCATCTCAATATTTTACCCACAGGAGACCAGAGTCTGCCAACATAAGCGATGTTTCAAAATTAGTTCCAGTTAATGAATATATATTTCAAATAAAATGTTACTGGCAGCTGTAAAATGAGCACTAAGAAAGGAAGTTAGAAAGGCAAATTACTGCAGAAAAATGTTTGCAAAGTAGAATTTCAGGTTAGAAAAGGAAAAATAGAGGTAAATAAAAATAAAATCATAGTATTACTGGAGAGTGTGGAATAAACATTTAAAAATACATACAAATGTTATTTCATAATCAAAAAATCATACTGCATAAAAAGAACCATTCATCCCATTCTGCAGAGGGCTATCTATTGGCAAAAGTGCCAATTAGTCCTGCTTTCTTTCTCATTTGCCCTGACCCTTTAAATATTACTGTCTAATTATAAATCCACTTCCTTTCTGAAAGTTACTATTCAATCTGCTCCCAACATACTTTCAGGCAGTTCATTCCAGAGAAATAAATTTCCTTATCCCTTCCTTGGAGTTTTTGTCAATTATGTTACCGTTTCTCTGTTTACTGTGCTTCCTGCTAGTGAAATTACATTTCTAGCTAATCTCTTAAAGTAATCACTTTGACTATCTAAATAATTTCTTCTTAACCTACTCTGTTCTATGGAGAACAATTCCAGTTTTCCAGCCTCTCCACATAATAGGAACTGTTCTTTCCAGGTATCATCTCAAACCGCTTCAGCACTTAACCCAAGGTCTTGTTATAATCTTCCTAAAGTTTTGACAAAGATCTGTAGCTCGGCTTGTGGGTGAGGTTGTTGACTTGCTTGCTGAGCTGGCTTGTTCTCAGTCAGACATTTCATTACCATGCTAGGTGACATTATCAGTGGAGCCTCTGATGAAGCAATGTTATTCTACTCTGCTTGGAATTTATACTGTCTGGGCCGTTATGGTGATTAGTGTCAATTCTGGTTTTATATATAGGGTCCAATTCTATATGTTTGTTGATTGCATTATGGGTGGAGAACCATGCCTCTAGGAATTTCCGTGCATGTCTATGTTTGTCTTAGGCTAATATGGTTACCTTGTCCCAGTTAAATTGATGGCCTGCATTGTCTGTGTGTACCAATATTAAAAAGTGAGTTCGTCGTGCCGTTTTGCTGCTAGTTGATGTTCATATATTCTGTTGGCTAGTTTCCTTCCTGTCTGTCCAATGAAATGTTTGTGGCAGTCATTGCATGGTATTTTATAGACTGCGTTGGTTCTGCATGTTGTGCGAATGGGGTCTTTAATCCTTGTGAGCGTTTGTTGTAGAGGAGCTGTGGGCTTGTGGGCCACCATGATTCCTAGTGGTCTTAGGAGTCTTGTTGTCAGTTCCGATATATTCCTGATGTAGGGCAGTGTGGCCAGTGTATTAGGGCATACTGTGTCCTGTTGTTGTTGTCTGTTTAGTAGACATCTGCAGATGAAGTTGCGGGGACATACGTTTACAGCGAAGATCTTGTATAGGTGCTCTTCCTCTTTGCTGCGTAGTTCCAGGGTGTTGCAGTGTGTCCTGGCCTGTTTAAATAGTGTCCTAATGTAGCTTTGTTTGTGGACATTGGGGTGGTTGCTGTGGAAGTTGAGGATTTGATCCTTATGGGTTGCTTTTCTGTACACTGAGGTTTGGAACTCCCTGTTTGTCAATCGCTCTACTTTAACATCCAGAAACGGAAGTTGACTGTTGTTTTCTTCTTCCCTTGTGGATTTAATCCCTGCAAGTATGCTGTTGATGAGGTGGTGGGTCTCTTCCAATTTGTTGCATTTAATAATGACAAATGTGTCGTCTATGTACCGGAACCACAGTTTAGGTTGAATGCAGGGGAGGTTGGTGTGTTCTAGTCTTTGCATGACTGCTTCTGCAATGAGTCCTGAGATGGGTGACCCCACTGGTGTACCGTTAATCTGTGTGCATATCTGTCCATTAAAGACAAAACGTGTGGTGAGGCATGGGTCTAGTAGTTTAAATATGTTGTCATTGCTGATGGAGCTGCTGGTCTGTGTTGCTGTTTCCTCTAGTAATGTGGCCAGTGTTTCTTTAGCTGGTGGGATATCGATTGATGTCAATAAAGCTGTGACGTCAAATGACACATGGATAAGAAACCTATCCAGTAGACAACTCACAGAAACTGAGAAAGCTGTCCTGTTACGTGGACTAAACTATAACCACATAGATGTGAACAGACAGACTTCATGTTGTCCTGGAGACTACATTAAAAGACAACAGACACACGGATGACAATCAACAAGCCATCAGACAAACTATAATCCTCACACTACAAAGAAGGAACAAAGGGGACAACCTGAACACATCAGAGTGAAAAGCACTACGTAAACTCAAGAAAGACAAGAATGTCCTAATCCTACCAGCAGACAAAGGGTCCATGACCGTCATTATGAACAAACCAGACTACGTTGAGAAAGCACAGGAACTGCTTGCAGATACAACCACTTACCAACAAGTGGCGATAGACCCAAAACCACAGCTAGGTATTAGGATCATCAGACACTGAAGAGACTAAAGGATGCAGGGCAAACTTCATGAGAATGAAACCAGAAGGTATGAACACCCCCATGCTTCCAAGGAATTTCTAAAGTACACAAACCAGACATCCCCCTCAGACCCATTGTTTCCCTACCAGGCACACTGTCACACAAACTGACCAAGGACCTACAACAGAGACTGAAACACCTAGTCGATGGATCACTCCATTCTATCCACTCCACCCGAGATTTTCTCAATACCCTCGAGAACATAAAAATCAGCGTCGACGAGATTATGGTATCCTTTGACATCACAGCTTTATCCACATCAATCAACATTGCAAAAGCCAAAGAAACAGTGGCCACATTACTAGAGGAAACAGCAGACCAGCAGCTCCATCAGCAATGACAACATACTTAAACTACCAGACCCATGCCTCACCACACGCTTCGTCTTTTATGGACAGATATACAAACAGATTAACGGTACCCCAATAGGGTCACCCATCTCAGGGCTCATATGCTGCAAAGAGGAAGAGCACCTATACAAAATCCTCGCAATAAATGATAATCCCGCAACTTCATCCGCAGATGCCTACTAAACAGACAACAACAGGACACAGTATGCCCGAATACACTGGCCACACTGCCCTACATCAAGAACATATCGGAACTGACAACAAGATTCTAAGACAAATAGGAATCACGGTGGCCCACAAGCCCACAGCCACTCTACGACAAACACTTACAAGGATTAAAGACCCCACTCCCACAACATGCAGAACCAATGTAGTTTACAAAATACCATGCAATGACTGCCACAAACATTACATCGGACAGACAGGATGGAAACTAGCCAGCAAAATACATGAACATCAACTAGCAGCAAAATGGCATGATGAACTCTCCTCAATATCGCTACACACAGACAATGAAGGCCATCAGTTTAATTGGGACAAGGTAACCAAATTAGCCCAAGCCAAACATAGACACGCATGGGAATTCCTAGAGGCATGGTTCTCCATCCGTAATGCAATCAACAAACATATAGAAATTGGACCCCATATACAAACCCATTCAGATTGAAACCAGAAATGACACTACTCACCATAATGGATTGGACAGTATAAATTCCAAACAGAGTAGAATAACATCGCTTCATCGGAGGCCTCACTGATGATGTCACCTCGCATGGTGACGAAACGTCTGAACGAGAACAAGCCAGTTCAGCGAGCAAGTCAACAACCTCATAATCTTTTTAACTTGGTACACAAAATTGGGCACAATACCCTAGGTTAGATTAAACATGCATTTTTTTCTACTCAGCTTACAAAGCCATACACCTTTTTAATAGCTTCTGAATCCGTCCTGCTATCTTCATGCTTTTCCCTTTGTAAACACCCTGGATCTCCACACCTGCATCCTGTTTAAATTATATAATTTACTTTAGGTTGCCTCTCATCATCTTTCCTTCAAATACGTCTTCATTCACACTTGTCTACTTTAAAACTTATCTGCCATGTGTTTGTTCACTTCACCATTCTATCCTGAAAAATGTTACATTTCCGACCTCTGTTTCTTTTCAAAAAGAACATTCATGTGATGTAGGCATTGCTTGATAGGCCAGTTTATATCACCCATCTCTAATTACCAGATAGTAGTTAAGAGTCATCCACATTGTTGTTCAACTGGACTCACAGGCCAGACAATTTAAAGGTGACAGATTTTCTTCCCTTAAGAACTTTAATGAACTAGATAAGTTTTGATAGCAATTGATATGATTGCTATTAAGTTAGCTTTTTATTCCAGATTTTAATTCAGATTTCACCACCTGCCATGTTGTGATAAGAACCCATGTCCCCAGAACATGAGTCTTGGGTTCTGGATTACTAGCTCAATGACATTACCACTACGCCAGTGCCTTCTTGCAAACTTTGAAATCGATTACCCATATACTCAAGGATAGTAGGAACTGCAGATGCTGGAGAATCCGAGACAACAAGGTGCAGGGCTGGATGAACACAGCAGGCCAAGCAGCATCATAGGAGCAGAAAGGCTGACGTTTCAGGCCTAGACTCTTCATCAGAAACGTCAGCCTTTCTGCTCCTATGATGCTGCTTGGCC